TCTCGCTCATTCCTAGCATCGTCACGCCATCATGATCTACGGCTTGATAGCGCATGCGCATTTGCGCTGCTAAAAAAAAATCGGGTGTTCCGGGGGTAAAGAAACACCGCGGAAAGACGTCTGCGCATGCACCAAATTATGAAAATATGGCGGGGAATTTGAATATCAATTTCTAAAACAAAAACATGCTTATTAATTGGTCAAAAATTAGTAAAAAAACGAGAAAATATAGCAAATGGGTAGACTAGACATTAATTGAAAGCGTCCTGGCATTTAAAGTATGGAATGAAATATAATTCATGTAAAAAAATGTTGATTTTAACGGACACGACTTCGAAAATTTTTGCAAAATTATTCAAAACAAAAATTCAAACTCAAAAGTTAAGAAAACTCTCGAAAAGTTAAGCTTTTTAACCTACTCAAATTGTAGAATAAATCCAAAAGTTTAATTATTGTGAACACGAAAATTTTTTATATCTGGCGACACAGTTTTTTTTAAAGAAATGTATCTCAAACGAAAATTCGGAAATTGTCGTTGCTTAGTTGATAAACAAAACGTTTCAGGCGATAAATTTGTCAACAATCACATTTAGTTCATGTTCTTGTACAATGCAATTTCTTGAAACTTCTGGCTGTATTTATTCCTAGTTTTTAGAATATGTTTATTTTTGCGCTCGAAATCTGGCTGTAAAGACGCACAATGAAGTCACTCTTTTTTACCGCCATTTTGAACCTTCGGAAACGTTCGGAACAGCTTCTCACCAACTTCGCAATACTATTACAGGTAAGGTTGACGCATGCGCAGACGTTTTTCCGCGGTGTTGGGTAAAGATCCTTTACACAACATGAGAAGCGCATCTTATAAAATTTACAATAACGACAACAATTCCTCGAATTTTTTGTAAACTTGGCAAAACTTGGCAAAAGGCCTAAAGAATATTTAAATAAGACAACTGGAATTGCCTAAATAACCTTCAAAGCACAGACTAAGTACGATAAATCACTACGAACATATATCGTATACACCCCCCGGAAAGTTTACTGTATGACTGAATAAATGAATGAATGAATGAATGAATGAATGAATGAATGAATGAATGACTGACTGACTGATTCGTGTGAATTTCCCCCCAGTCATCACAATAGTGGGAAGTTTCGAAGAAACTTCACACTAAAAACGGATGAGGCATCATTTAACAATTAGACAACGAATCCGAGTTGTCTATGACTATGAGCGAATAGTCAACGAGGCGAAGCCGAGTTGACTATTCGTTCAGAGACAAAGAGGCTGAGTTGTCTAATTGTTTTAGATAGTAGAAACCACATAAAGAAAACGGAATTTTTCACTTGATTTTTGTGTAAAATAGTAACGTTTTAACGAAATGAGCGTTTAATTTAAATGGCTTCCTTTGGCGACATTTCGCCTCGGCCTACACAGTGTTGCGAACTCTCAAGAATGACTTGAAAAATACAACTTGTGAGTTTTAAAAAGTTAAAAGGCCTTAAAAAACATGTCGTAAAACAGTATAATAGTAAGAGACCGTTATAGAAGCAAAGTTTGGTTAATTAAAACTTATTTAAAAGAAAAATTCCAAAATTTCGAACACAAAATGGCTTCCCAAATTGTTACTAAATTAGTAAATAAAGTTGTCGTTAAAATTCCGAATAAAAATCCACACACATGCAAAAGAATCCGATTATCCGAATGTCGTTGAAATCTTTAAAATATCTGGAACATAAAGAGGCAAACCATTTCCATAATAATCGAAAATCGATACTAAAGACAATAAAATACTGTAAATTGGCTTCAGTGGACTCAGTACCAAGCCCGAAATGTACTCTTCTCCGACCAAACTGCGAAAAAAATAAATATAAACATCGAAAAATACTAGCCAGTGCTATACATGCTTTGATTCAAATGTTCCACATATATTCAGCTATTCTTCGAAAAAATACGTCCAAATGTAAATAGTACAACGTACAACTTGTCCGTAAACATAAAATTAAAAAAACAATACCTTAAAAGGCAGTTTATCGCTTCCCTACATATATTAAACCACCATCGGCAAACTGTTTGTCAGGTTGAGCTCGGTTTTCTGTGCTGCCGAATACTACGAGACCAGTCAAAGCCTTTATGGCATAATTATGGCTTATGTGCCCGGTTGTTGGCACATAGCTGCTTTATTGTTTTAATCAATTTTTAATAATTAACAAGAAAAATTATTAATTAATAACTATATAACATTTGGCACAGAAAAGGTGGGGGCATTACTAACGCCCACTACACATTACGTATCTATATAAGTTCAACATATCGCGTCCAACAACGAGGAGGAGGGTGGGTAATTCTCTTCTATCCAATTTCTTGATGTGAACTGCAGCCCTCGTGGAATAGGAAAGGACAGATAGCCCGCTTCACCACTGATAAATACCGAAATTTCCAGTCACGTGACTATACCTAAATTAACTTGCCCGCGCAAATTACTTATTTCGCATAATTAATTTCAAAAATAAATTATTCCGGGAAGCAATAAAAACTCTTATCGCTGTGGCAATAAGTTCCTTTAAAGACGTTGCTCGGCTTATTTCGGTCAAGATTGTTTTTATAAATGTTGTTATGAACGAATTGTTTTTCGGCAACTAAAAGTTGTATTTTTCTGTCAAAAAGCAATTTCTCAAGCATGTCCACGAATCAAAAAATAAATATTTTTACTTAGTTTACCTTCTGTTTTCTTGTTGAGTAGAAAAGCATCTATTGCAATGAAACTAAAAGCTTTTTATCCAGCTTTTATCGTGTCGTTTTAGCAGTTTGTCAGTCATGCTTGCACAACAAACGCAACAAGTAACAAACATGCTTGCACAACAAGTAACAAACGCAACTGATCTCAAATGTACTTCGCAACTGGAATTTTATCGGAATTTCATTATAACCATGAACTATCAAATAAAATAATAAAAACGTTATTTACCGTTTTGATCGGTTCGTACTATATATATATATATATATATATATATATATATACAATTACTCAAATTTCCTTTAAATTATTTTTGGGGGCGATTGATGTTCGATCGGCTGGTAACCAACTTGAACTCCGAATGAAGGCAAAATATCGACATATTTTTAGCGCTATTTTTTAAATCAAATTCATACCTAAATTTCAAAATTTTTCTTCGGCAATATATAGACTTATCCTTCTATTTTCGTGGGTGATATGACTTAGATAATTATTATTTCGTATAAAATAGAAAACAGCGCAGTTATTGACCCTCCTGAACGGATAACGGATATCGTCTCAAAATATGTCAACTTCGAAAGCTTATTTCAAAATCGTGGCACTTGATTGGCACATGACTTTAACTTTTCTATAAACTACTAACATTAGCCAACACAAATCGCCAATAATATCTTTCTGATCTACCATTTGACAAGAATGACAAGCGCGCAAACTTTTAAAATTTGAAAATGTGTCGAAATCGAGCATACTTTATCGGTAAACCTAATTGTTGATATTAACAAATAAAACCACGTTACACTACACTGAATGAAGCTTGATTATGTAAATATATGTCTTTCATCATTATTCTTTGGTTTGGCGCTTGAATCAAATTGTTTGACTGTACAGTTTGGCTTCACGAATAGAGTCATTCAATGCCAGTGTGTCCAGTGTCTTCTGCGCGCCTCAATGCCACGAGTCCTGATTGTGACATACTATACAATCTTCGCTCTGTTCGATGATGATGATCGACAGTTTGCTGAGCTTTATCTCTGGTTTTATGCGTCAAACAAGGACAAAAATACCACTGTTCGAATCAGCGTGAAAAGTTGTGTTTACGGATGGAAAATTGATTTCAAAATTGACTTCTATTCTAGCTATTTGTCGCCTTTGAAAGACAAAAGCCGCTCAAAATAATCCTTCACGTTTTTCGAATTCCTTTTTTCGAGGAAAGTTTTCTTTCGAATTACAACTCGAACTCTCACGATTGACTTTTTGCTGCGTCTTATCTCTGGTTTTATGCGCCCAATAAGGACAAAAATACCACCGTTCGATTCAGTGTAAGAAATTATACTCACAGATGTCAAATGTATTACTAAACTACAGTAATCTAGCGATTTATGGTCTTTGAAAGACAAGCGAAATTGTATTGTTCACAAATCGCTCAAATTTAGGGAAGCCTCACATATCGATTTCGTCCATGAGAAACGTCATATGTTCGTTTCTCTGGAGACCTCCCCCACCCCCCCTTAGAAACGTCACACATATTTATATCGATATTTTGTTCGATATAGTATACATAAGGTAATTTTCTACTATTTTCTGCGGTCGGCTATTGGCGATGCTTCCGCGAGGAGTATGTCATCTTCTGCTGACATACTCTTTTTTTATTAATATATATGAACTTCAAAATTTCTAACGTTTCTCAAAACAACTTTTTTTTGCATGAAATACTGATAATTTTAGCGCGGTTTTCTTGAAATTTGAGTGTTCTCAATGCAAGGAAGGCGTAATAATATAAATGTATACGTGTAGAACAGGTATGGTATAGAATGTAGGCCTATAGACTGTTGTTTGTATCAAATTGTTTTCTTTTTTATACTCTGCAAAGATGATTTAGAAATGTCAAGGCTTTCGAAAAAACTATCGAATTTTTCCATGATATTTACAGAGAAACGTCACAGCTGCAACTCCCCCCCACCCCAAACGAACATATGACGTTTCTCGTGGAAAAAATCGATATGTAAGGCTTCCCTAAGCAGTTCGTATACATGTACATTGGCATCGGCAGTTTAATTCTATACGTAGCTTAGTGATGTATTGTATTGGCGCTGCAGGCTGTAAGGCATCTGGCAGGACAATTCTGAGAGACACCGCCCCCCTAATTAAAAGGGGATAGTTACGTCCCTGTACACAAGGAAAGAATAAAGACCTATTGTTAACACGCTAATATTGTCAAATATAGATAAACATATAGATAATAATGATTCTTATTTATTATTTTAGAACAACCACCGACTGAACCGCCACCGGTAAGAATGATATTTGCTACTCGAATTCTTCATTAAACACCATGGGTCCTGAAGGGATAAATGGGAACTAGGATTTGCCTGTATCTGGGCTGGGAAAATGGGATTTGGGTTACTGAGATTGGGAATGAAAAACAATTGACAATTTGGGCAGGGCTGGCGCTAAAGCGGGTGTATAACACCCCCAGTCAGCAGGTAGTCGGCAAAATATTGAATCCATGCAGTCGCAAAACATGGATTTCGATAGGACGAAAAGAAGAATATTTGAGCGACACCGATTAAAAAAGAAGAATGCTAGCTAAAAGGTGGTATACGGAAAAATTTGGGGAAAATGGAACGAACAACAATGGTTAAACACAAAATAAGATTGAAAGATTGAGAAATATGTTCTCCGGAAGATTCTTTTTGATGTTGTGCCGCCGCTACATCCCCCCCCCCCCCCCCCAACTGATAGGTATTACTGCCCTTGGTGAAAAATACTGCGTACGGCCCTGGCCTCAACGCGCCTCAATTTTTTGTTTCAGATAATCACAGTTCACGTACAGCTTGTTTTTCACATGACTAACATGACGCGAACCGAGCCTATGGTATCTGTCGAAATGCCACTAGGGAAAACGGTTTACAATGTTTTGGAGTTAGCCAAATTAAAAAATCCTTGCTACACCGCTACATACGTCAAGCTGGCGTGGGGCAGATCGGTTACAAGTTTATGTGGGGTTAAAAAGCGGCCAATGCTGGGCTACTATTGGCTGATCCGCGTCAATGGTCGCAGAGCACGATATGGTGTTGATGGTCTCAGACCAAAGGATGGTTACGTTATTACATTTAAGTACAAGAAGATTACTTTTTAGTGCTTACAATAATCGTACAGTGATAGTAAAGTGAAATGATGTATTGTGATGATTTAATCAGTAATATAGTGTGATATAAATTTAACTCTGTAATGTAATGAAATGTAATGTAATGTAATGTAATACAATGTACTGTCATACAACTATACAATGCAATATGTAATGAAATGATGAAGACGCAGTCTAACGTAAATAAAGACTATGCAGTGTGATGTATTGTAGTGCAATGATGTAATGTAACCTATAAACGCAATGTAACCATGTAAGGTGATATAATGGTATACAATATAATGTTGTAAAACTAATGAGTGACTGACTGGCCTTTCAAAAAAGGTTGTCCTTTGCAAACCTTACACTTTAACGCCCGTAGTCTAAAAGCTCACTCACACTCAATGAGTGGAGGTTCAATATAAGCTTCTCTCGAGTGTCATTGCTGCTTTTGAATAGCTGAGGGTTAGTATCGTGCCATACTGGTTGACTACTCACCCTCCAGCTATTCAAAAACAGCACTGACACTCAAGAGAAGCTCAGATTGAACCTCCACTCATTGAGTGTGAGTGTGAGTGTGAGTGAGCTTTTAGAATACAGGCGTGAACCTTAAACTCTAAGCGCGCAAAGCTTAATGGGAGAAAATTTTTTTACCCCTAAAATGGTCCACTGACCGAAAATTTTTTGGCGAAGAAAAAAATTTTGAGAAGCCCTTTTTTTTGGAAAAGTGCCCCTCAAAGCCTGTTCCCCCCCAACTTTTCGAAGCTTCCTACGCCCCTGGGCCCAAATTTTTGAATTCACCTTTCTTCTTCAAAGAAAACAGGCTGTTTTCTTCCAGTTTGTTACAACTCGTGCGTTGTTACGTGTGTATGCATGGCAAGCCCGTAGCTGGCTCTCAATTTCTGAGGGAGCACTACAGAAAGAATGTAACAGAGGGGTTGGGATGATTTTGACTTTCGTGCTAGCAGCTAGTTTTCCTTTTCAGCTCAGAAAAATTGGGATCGAACGGAACCGTTCTTCTACACTGTAAAAGCATTATACTTGTGCTCAATTTTGTGAGTCTTTAAAGTTCTGTATAGGCTGTATAGAGTTAGTTCAGCCGTCTGCTATCTAGCCTAGCTTCTAACAATGAGGTTATTTATTTTAGGCCACAAGCAATCTATTTTCATACAAAAATTGACAAAATTTTCATACAAAAAGTGTATGGTATTGTAATGCATATGATTTTTAATATTGACCCATGCTATCTTTGTTTAGTATACATTCAATCATGGAATATTACAAATTCATAATTTTGATTGGTTCCTCAACCATTGATATAATCCATGGTAAAGAAAAATACAAAACAAAATTACAAATCACGCACTATTTGTGGATATTTTTATCTAAATTAATACAAAAATATAAAATTAACCTAGCCTCAGCATATAGTAAGAAATTAGGCTATACGCCTTTGTTGACTTTGTTGGCTTGGATATGACAGCCAT